CGTTTAATTTTTTCTGTCTGTTACTCAAGTTATTTTTAAATATTTGTTTATACCCTGTGTTCACATCTCTAAGGACTTGCCATGGGAACATCTGTGATTCATGTACTTGAATGGATTTGGGGGAAAACTGAGCCAAGCAAAGGGAATCATATTTATCTGTCATGTTAAGAATGAAGGTACTTATGTGTTATTATTTTTACTCATTTTTGTATTTTTTAAGTGGAGCTTACTGGGTATCACATATTAAAACAAAACAAAACAAAGCACTTTATTGAGAAATGCTTTATTTCTTGCAAAAGTCTTATGATCTTTTGATATAAAAATTTTAACAGTCAAGACGTTTTTCCATTTAAATGTGTTAAAATATTTTTTCATTACATCCAAATCCAGTGGCCTAGTATTAGTTTCATATGAAAATAAAACGCAGCCATGATAACTTTTTATGGTAAAGGCAATACATTTCCTATATTTAATATTTTAAACATTCATTTTGTTTTTGTTAAATTTTTAAAGGGCATATATAGCTAGTAGCTGTGCTTATGGGAAGAGCATAAATAAGTGCCACAGATTTATTGCTATGTTAATTTTATTTTAGTTTTACATATAAATTAAACCTGTACTCGGGGTTTTTATCTAGTTTCAAGTGATAGAAATTGTAGGAAATATTAGTGTTAAATTGGCCCTCATTGCCAAATCTTGGTGACTGATTAGATATATTCATTATTTGAGCTGGAACACTTAGAGTAAAGGGAAGCTTTAACCTGAGGATGACGGGATAATAGGTGTACACTGGGAAAATTCCCAGACCAACTGGGCCATAGGTTTACTGTAGAAGCGAGGGATAAACTACCCATACATTTTGAGGATGAAGTCTGGAATTACTCACGCTAATAGACCTGTGTATCTATCCCAACACTTCTCTGATTTTGTTGGATATAGAGAAAATTCCTTTCTTTTGGGATACGCTTGAGTATCCATAATGTTCCTGTCACTGACTTGATAAACAATAAGGAAAGTGAAGCAACCATTTGATTTCCAGGGGTCATTTGAACTATTTTCCACGGGGCCTTGACAGGGTAATTTAGAGCCTGTGGCAAGGAAAGCACTTCTCTGAGAGACCTCATTTGCACCAGGATTGGTTTAGACCTACTCTGGAGCACTGATGCTTCATCTAGGAGTTTTCTTTTTAAAGTGGTCTAGATCAAGTCAGGAAGAGTCCAAGCAGACTTTTGCACCGTCTCTGCTTCCCCCTTACCCAACTTAACGTCCATAATCAATCATTACAATCATTTCATAAGTTCTCACCTTCCTCGCCCCTTCCTTGCTTCATATACTTGATGAGTAAACACACGACCAACTGAATTTCTCTTTTCACCTGTTCCCCACCCACAAAGTGAACAGGACTACAGAAAATGACACAACCCATGCTGCTTTTCACTTCATGGCCACAAACCTCAAATGAGCTCATAGAGCTGCCCAGAAATTATTATTATTGTAGTCTATTCTTCTCCAGCTCTTTTCAATATCACAGACTTTTCTCATTACAATTTCAGCATGTTCTCCCCCTCATTCAGTATTTGCTTATGATCTGGCTTCCTAAACTACTGTGCAATCCGAAACAATCAGAAAAGGGCTTCCATAAACTTCTACCAGCACATCCACCCATCTAATATTCTGTACCCCCCAATTTTGCCTTCCTTCTTCAAAGTGTAGTTAATGTGTCCATGTTTTGCCCTTGGATACCTGATCCTCTCTGCTATTACGTATTCGAGATACTTTTGTTGAAAACCAAGCTCTGTGCTCTGGAGCCGAAATATGTAATGCAAAGACAGAGTCTGGATATAAAGAAGGAAGATAATTTATTACTGCTTGGCAAAAGAGGCTGCAGTCAATAAGGCTTCATTCAAAACACCACAAGCCCACCCTGAGAAAGAGGCTGGGGGTTTTATAGGGAAATACAGGATCTAACCAGTTTTGACAGGAATTGCTTGGCAAAGGAGGCTGCAGTGAATAAGGCTTCAAAAAACTGCAAGCCCACCCTGAGAAAGGGGCTGGGGGGTTTACAGAGAAATACGGGATCTAACCAGTTTTGACAGGAATTGTGTATGTGCTGCCGGCTTCCTTCCTCATGTGATAGGGTGGTATCCGGTTCCTGAAACAAAAGGTAGGGGAGGTTTATGGAAGGAGGAAAAAGGTTACTTTAAAATTGAGTTTCGCTGAAATATTAGGGCAGCCATTTGAGTTTTTGTTCAACTTTGTGCTTTGAAGCCATTTCAGTATCTCTCTAGCAATTCTTATCAACATTGTCCATTTTTTTCTGCACGGAGCTATTCCACCAACTGTGCTATTATTTATTCAATCTCAAAAACCTTCTCTTGACTTCACTTACTCCTCCAGCAACTGTCATAATCTATATATAATTTTATTATAGTACATACTTAGAAAAAACTATGGAAAATTATATGACCAAACTTTTAAAAGGACCATCTAAAGTAATGGAATTATTTGGGGTGCCTGGGTGGCTCAGTTGGTTAAGCATCCAACTTCAGCTCAGGTCATGATCTCAAGGTTCATGAGTTTGAGCCCTGCATCGGGCTCTGTGCTGACAGCTCAGAGCCTGGGGCCCGCTTTTGTTCTGTGTCTCCTTCTCTATCTGCCCCTACCCTACTCACACTCTGTCTCTGTCTCTCAAAACGTAAATAAGCGTTAAAAAAAAAAAAAAAATATATATATATATATATATATATTAAAGTAATGGAATTATCAGATAATTCAAGATAATTCGTTTTTAATCATATGTGACTATAAGTTTTAGTGTCTTTAGTGTCACACATGTTTTCATGTGTGTACACATGATAGTTATGTAACCATGAAATTGAAAATATATGTTCCATTATGCTTTGAAATATAAATAAATTTAAGGAACATCATTTACAAATGCTGAGATGAGAGTTCTTTCAACTTAACAGTTTCATAAATGTAGTACCTAAATGGGGTGTATCTGGATCAGATGGGGGCCACCAAATGTGGGGCGATGATCCAGTGGAAGTTGGTAGCATGGGTGGTGAAAGAACTCACCTGGGGCAGAACAAAGGAGATAGAGGTTTACGGAATACACACCAAGGGAGCAGCAGACAGGACAGCAGAGGAGGGGCTGTCTGTAAGAAGGTGATTAGAAGGGGCTGCTTTTAAGGAGGGAAGATGAAGAAGTATGGTGACCTATGGAATTTTCCCTTTTTTGGTAACTGTGCCTGGTTGTAAGTACCCCATTGGTCATTTAGGGCCAATGGATATGCTGAGGTGGGTCACCTGGTCGACCTGTCTGTATTGAGCCAGATGGTCACCATGGCCCTGTCTACATTCCATTGCTCAACCCTGTTTGCCTGCAAGTGACTTCCACCATAAATTTATACTCTGTCAGGTTATTATTTACGAAATGACATAGGCAGGAAGGATCATTTTAATGTAATTAAGATGACTAAAAATAATAAGACACCAGTACCTCCAAGAATGAAAGCTCTTCTTAAGGAAAACAATTTGTCATCCCAAAGTAGGCCTCTTTGACATAAGGATTGTTCTGGGGAAATTATTTTTAAGAAAGAGCAAACATAGGGAGAAGCTCTGAAAACTAAGCAGAAGTTACCTGTGGTGTCTAAATAGAGGATCTGTCCAATTGGATGGGGATCCCTAAATGTGGGGTGATGGTCTTGTGGGAGCTGGTGCTGCAGGTAGTGAAAGGATTCCCCTGAGGCAGAACTAAGGAGAAGGACTAAGGAGAACTAAGGAGAAGTTTATTGAATACATCACAACGGAGGAGCAGGCAGGACTGCAAAGGAAAGGCTATCTGCAAGGAGGTAGTGGATGGGGGCTTCATTTAAAGGGGAAAGATGAGGAGGTAGCCACCTCTAGAATGTTCCCTTTTTTGGTAACTGTGCCTACTTATGAGTAGCCCATTGGTTATTTAAGGCCTATGGATATTTTGAGGTGGGTCACCTGTTGGGCCTGTCTGTATTCAGCCAGGTGGTCCCTGTGGGCCCTTTCCACATTCCATCACTCAAGCCAGTTTGCCTCAAAGTGGCCTCTGCATTACCCTTTTGTAAGAGACATTTACATTTAGAAGGGAAATCTCCATTTCTGAGAGTGTCTCTCTCCCTGTACCAGGAAGAAGAGGATGACTAAATCTCTAGAAAATGTTATCATTCGAGAAGGTAGAAACTAAATCTTCTTAACAGTCATACGCTGGTTTACTGTGCTTTGCCTGAAAATGTCCCAAAACTGGCTTCCCATCCCCCAAAATCTTATTTTTGGCTTTAGCTAGAGATAGTATTTAAGGTGGTGGCTCGGTACATTTTGAAGAGTTACTCAGCTTCTCTGGGTATCTCCCATATATACAGCAATAAAGGGATGCAGGAGAAGACACCCCAAAAATGTGCCACTTTAGCATAAAGATTATTTCAAATTTAAAGTAATGAAAACCAGGGCTCTTGGGGGGTCTCAGTCAGTTAAGCATCTGACTCCTGACTTTTGGCTCAGGTCAAGAGCTGAAAGTTTGTGAGATGGAGCCTCACGTCAGGCTCTGCACTGACAATGCGGACTGCTTGGGATTCTCTCTCTCTCTCTCTCTCTCTCTCTCTCAATCTCTGTCTCTCCCTTTCTCACTGCTCCTCCCCCATGCTCTCAGTCTTCTCTCTCTCAAAATAAATAAACTTAAAAAAAAAAAAAAAAGATTCTCTCTGTCTCTGCTCCTCCCCCAACTCTCTCTTTAAAAAAAAAATGTAATAAAAACTCAGCAGATGCAGGAAAGGCGCTCTGCCACCCCCATAATTGCCTAAATTTACATTGGAAAGGAGAGCCTGCAACAGGAAGAGAAATATTAACAGGCCCCCTGTACTGAAGAAACTCATCTGAATAATAGAGCAATCTTGTTCCCCCCCCCCCCCGCCCCCCAACATCTCCTTTCACTTTCTTGCTAATGAGTTTTCTCCCTTTTGTGTCCTTAGGCCCCTATCCCTTTCCTTGGATCATATAAGGTTCATGCTGCCTCACTTAATTTCACGTCTGTGTGGATTCCAGGTATGTATACCTATTAAATTTGATTTTCTCCTATTAACCTGTCTTATGTCAATTTGATTCTAAGTCCAGCTAGAAGGACCAAAGGGCAGAGGAAGGTCTTCCTCCCTGACAGGAAGTATACATGTTACTAAATTTCCGTTTGTTTTTTCCAGTTAATCCGTCTTTTATTACATGGAGGTTTCAGCCAAAAACCTAGAAGGGTAGAGGAAAAATTTTTTTTCTGTCTCTATAATTCTGTGAAATAACAAGACAGGTTTTCTTTGAAGAGTTAACATGGAAATTTTGTCTTTATTATTACAATATTATCATCAAAAGGAAATGGCTTGTTTATTTTGCCCTGAAGGTCAATTATTTGTGATACCCTCCAGTACCATTTAATTTAAACTAGGCTTATAGTATAAGAAACTAACATTGTTCCAGGTTTTACTAGCACTTGTTGCAATTAAAAATCTGTAACTACTATTTATTTTCAAATGCTGAAAAAGGTTAAGAATTACATTATCTTCTTAAATTGCATTGTTTTTGAAGGTTTGTATCAATCCTTAATTGTTACTTCAAGTTCAAATCATGAATGAAGGCCAAATAGGCTTTATTAAACACACATTTGAGACTTCCCTTGACCAAACACATCAGGAACACTTGTATTATGACTTTGAATAGTAATCTTGGATTTATGTTACCTTAACACTTTTAAGTGTTTATTGATTTTTTATGACAGCTGTCTACACATAATTCAAGTAACCAAAACATAAAAACAATTAGCTTTATTCACAGCAAAATAGAAATCTTTGTGGAGCCCTGTCCTGAGAAGAATTTGATGACTGAAACCTACACAATCATGACCTGCATATTCTGAGCAGAGAAACTCATGAGAACAGGGAAAATAAGTTTTCATGCTCTCCTGTTCTCACGACTGCATGTAAATTTACCTGAAAAATAAACTGAAATATATTAGGAAGATATATGGTATTGTACTATTAGAGACTATTTAGATTATTATTTCACATAAAAAATGAGAACATAATTTTTTAACTATTTTTATGCTCCAAATATGATCTACTAATAAAATGATGTGTACATGTGAGTATTACTACTAAATAATTGCTGTACAGTATGATCTTAAAAAATCTCATTTGAAAGATGTTTAAGGAAGCAACTGTACTCCTGTGTGATCAGTTTATTTCTTCTGAGTAATTCCATGCTATTAAGAAGCATTATTATAAATGCAAACATAATTAGCATCTTGAACATGTGTGCTACAATTAACCAATGATACTGGATCTGAACATTTGTGATTTCACTACAAACAAGTGGAAAATGATTTATATAGCAAGTCTCTAAGTGCTGTAGTAAGGCTTTATTCCAAATTCCAATTCTATATTTTTGTCATTGTTGCTGTTTTTTTTTTAATTTATTGCTTTCATAATGTAAATAGAGCATCCCAAACCATACAACATTGGGTGACAGTTTATTAGGGAACATTTTAATACATTTTCTTCAGGAGAATTCTATAACCTTTATCAGACTGACCAATGATAATTAAAATTTAGAAGTAAATGCTCAGAGCTAGACATAAATATGAACAGGAAGGAAATAGAAAAAGAACCATTCAATGCCTCTGTGGAAGAATATTCTTGCTTTACCTAATATTAGTGGACCCCATGCTCCTTTGATAGTACACATTTTAGATATGTTGTAGAGCAACATGAATAAGTGAAATAACCCATTCAACTCTCATTAGGTATTATGTTCCTTTCCACTTTAATCTTGAACAGACTTCATCCCAGAGTAGTCCTCAATCATGGCAGTGCATCTGAGTCACTTGCAAAATTTTGCCAAGATTGACTAGTCCTTAGTCAGTCCTGAAGTTTCTGATGTGGGCACCTGGATCATATATCCTTATTTAGAAAATTACTTTTACCTCTACTCTACTTCATCCATGTGTGACGCTTTGTGAAAAAAAAAAACTTCCAACATTTTTACCAAGTTGGAAACAGAAGGCCCAATGTTTGCTTCCACTTTGGGTAGGAACACAATATGACCCCAGTAAGTCCTCACTCATCACTCTCAAATAGTATTTATGTAATGACCACAAGAGTAAGCCATCACATCAGGAAATTATTATGCAATCAAATTAATCCACCTACACAAAAATCTTTCTGAGATCTAGTTTGTATTTTGCACCATTCCAGAAGGCATTAAGAAGAAAGGAGCAAACACATTTTAAGAGAAATAATTCTTCAGTGGGTTTTGATAACTTTCAATCTAATGAGAATAGTTTCAGTGTTACTTTTCACCTTTTGGCAATGGCCATTTAAATAAATATCTAAACCAACTCTGCTGTTAGGTAGTATCCACGAAGGCATCTTTTGAGCTTTAATTTGATCATATTTACTGTGGAGATTAGCAGGTGAAGACATATCTATTTTTGCAGACAGATTCACTAAACAATGTACCATGTGGGGAGAAAAACACTAAGTTTTATAAATACATCAGTAAATGCAATCAAAATATATTTCAGGCAGTCTTACAAATGTCTTACATGCTTTTCCATGCTCTAGGCTATTGGTCCACCTCTCCCTCTCTGACGTTTGAAGAACCTGTTTTGAGAATACCATTACATGGGGGAGTAATACATGGGGGGTATTGAAAAAAGTCCAGACCATTCAACCTTTGCAAGACATAAGCTGTATCTGCCCACTTGGGTATATTCTTTACCTCTATTCACTACTCCATTATTTCTCTCTAGTCCTACAGGGAGGTTTAAGGATGTCCTAGCCTGTATTACAGCTCAAATAAAGCATATTCTCTGGAAGAACTGCTGCACTTGATGTGAAAAATGTTGGGGTTCAGAGCCAATGTTTAAGAAATAATTCTTGAGCCATCTTCCATGCAAAAAGGGTAATTTTACTAAAGCATAGGGACAGGACCCATAGGCACAGAGAGCTGCCCTGGGTTGTGTGAGGAGTGGCCTATTATATACTTTCAAGTTGGGAGGGAGTTAGGGATAGCATAAGTCTCTATGGAATTTGGAAGCAAGGTTTCCGGGACCTTGAGGGGCTAGCTGTTGTTAGGATAAGGTCATTTACTACTGTCTAGTAAAACTTCAGTCATGAGACCCTTCAGATATATATCAGTGGACCATACATTTGGAAGATGATGGCTAACATAGCTTGGGGAGTAGAGATAAAGGAAGTTTCCGAGGGAACTTTTATATGTTAAAAGAGACTTACAGGATTCTGGAGGCCGGGCTAATGTTGAAATTGCCTTTGCCTTTAGCAAACTATTAACATGGAGGCAGTTGAGTTCCTAGAGGAAGGACTAGGCACTTACCAACGTCTCAAGGACTTACCAGTGGGCAATAGATTGTAAGGAAATATATATATATATTTTTCTCTTGCCTTTGTTCTCCACATCACACTCAACTGAGTTGTGAATTCCAGTGATTCATAATTGTGCACCTGTAACAACAGAGTAAATTAAATAAAACATAATTTAAAAATAAAAGTAAACATGCCAATGAATTTTTGAGGTGCTGCTGATGATCAGTGATGATCAATTTTATATTGAAGTGGCTGGGAGGAGATATTTGAGATGGGCTGAGTTGACATTGACATTGCAATTTTTTGTTAAGTGGTTTAAGAATTCATGATCTTGGTCCAGGGCTGGTAACATTGTGCCATTTGCTTCTCCCTCACAAAAAAATGGTTCTTGATAATGTTCAAAGCAGTCAGGGTAACATGAGGGTTCTCATGAAGTTGCAAAGCCTCAACTTTCTTAACTACAAGTAGGTGGAAAATAGATCACAAAACTCTTTGATGGATGAGGGCAAAATATTTAGAGTTATATTTTTTTCAAGATTATTATCCAAATTAGTTGTGTGGGAATCTATGTTGTTTACAAACTTATATATCATCACCTATGCAATAGAAATCATTTCTTTACCTATTTTTCAGTGATGTTCAAAGAATTAGAGGAAATAAATACAAATCATCCATATTTAAAATAACATAAAATAAAATGAAGCATCATTTGGGTTTTGCTATAGAATGAGGTGTTCATCTAGGTGAATAATATAATCAATCAACTTTCTTCCTTTTTGTATTTAATAGAAGCATTTAAAAACTGCATGCATTACATGCTCTCTACAACAAATGGATTGTGGAACACTTTGTACACTTTAAAGTATCAATGTCATCATTAAAAATATGTTCTTATTGTTTGTACTTCAATGGAAAGATGTCCAAAGGGACTATTAGACTTCTAAGACATTTTGCCTCTATGATTCTTAAATCTGTTTTGTATAATTTTCTTTTTCTTTTCTCTCACATTTATGCAATGAACAGTTTTTTTTCACTGCATGTGTACCTGGTAACTGCTTTTAAAATCTCTCATCCATTAGCACGTTTGTACTATGCTGCCCTAAATCTACTGTGAGCTGGAAAAAGAGAGTTAATTTTGCTAAATATGTGGCCAAATAAGAGAGAACATATGTTAATTAAAAACAAAAGAGCTGGGGCACCCGATTGGCTCAATCAGTGGAGCCTGTGACTCTTGATCTCAGGGTTGTGATTTTGAGCCCCACTTTGGTGTAGAGATTACTTAAAAACAAAAAAATCTTTAAACAAACAAACAAAAAGACCTGCCTATGAAATAAGAAGGTGAGGTTTAGAACTTTATATGCATGCTATTTTTGTTGACCCTTTTGTTGTCTCATTTTCTAGTTTATGTTTCTCAACACACTTTTCTATAGGTGAACATGTTCTATATATTAAGTTCTATTTTATTCAACAATCTCTGAGGTCACATTCTTTTTAGCAAAACATGATGTTAAGCCCTCTGAATGATGGAAATATGACAAAAGCAATTACACAAAGGGTTTATAATAAGGACAGTGATAAGCTTTCTTAATAATAGAATATTTATTGAGTTATTATAATATATAATGCCTTCTTTCAGGAGGTTACAATCTGTAGACAGAAATGTCTCTTTACCACAAT